AGGTAAAAATAAGCGTACACGTTTACAAAAAAAAGGTCAATTTTTTTATCAAAACATTTCAAGAACATGACAAAAGGACCCCTCACAAATCAAACGGAAATTGGCTTTTGGTGAAATCGGCCGAATTTTGGATATGTTGTTCCTTTCGGTGTCCAGATCAAAAGTCTCCACGGGCACGAAGCTCCAAAAATCTTCCCTGCGAGCAGTACCCAGCTTGGAAGGTTAGAGACCGGTAATCCCCGATTTTCGCTGATTTTACCTCTACCCTTTTATAAATTGTACTTAGACCATAAAACTTAGAAATAGTTATTTATGAATTAAGCCGGTTATGTTATTCCGAGTTTTATGATGGCAAGCTTGGGTTTGGAGGGACTTACGGGTCGCTCAACGTAGCCGCGTTCAAAGGATATATAGCATTTACCTTATAATTACTTTATAAGGGAATTCCTAAGAGATAACGAATTTGATTGGTTCATTTAAGAATAATTTTGATCTTATATTATATATGTCGGAGTCGTAGGGCTAACTTGGGCGTTAATATCACTACTCGTGTCACTCATCTTCACGAAATAATAAGTAATACCGTAAATGAAATGATTTAAAATAAGACGTTACAAATAAAGGAGGTCAATAACCAGAGGCTCGATAACGAATCCACGGTCAACAGAATAGCAGTGTACTCACGTCTTCAGTGCTCAAGTAGAACTGCCTTCAGTACATCTCTCTGTACTCCTCTTCACTCGTCAGGTCAAAATTATTCTTAAATGAACCAATCAAATTCGTTATCTCCTAGGGATTTCCTTATAAAGTAATTATAAGGTAAATACTATTTATCCTTTGACCGCGGCTACGTTGAGTGACCCGTAAGTCCCTCCTAACCCAAGCTTGCCATCATAAAACTCGGGAATAACATAACCGGCTTAATTCATAAATAACTATTTCTAAGTTTTATGGTCTAAGTACAATTTATAAAAGGGTAGAGGTAAAATCAGTGAAAATCGGGGATTACCGGTATCTAACCTTCCAAGCTGGGTACTGCTCGCAGGAAAGATTTTCGAGTTTCGTGCCCTTGGAAACTTTTGATCTGGACACCGAAAGGAACAACATATCCAAAATTCGGCCGATTTCACCGAAAGCCACTTTCCGTTTGATTTGTGAGGGGTCTTTTATATAAACAATAAATCTATTATTTTTACAACTTCAACACCCTGTATCTCCAAAACGAGGCTATGGTCTATGTTTATAAGGCAAACACCTACTATTTTTTGTATAATTTTTTGTCTAGAAAACATGTGGGAAACAAATAAACATAAAAAGTATATAAACATAGTTTAAAATCTGTAACATGATTAAATTAAAAAATAGAGCATTGTTACCTTAAAGTTCTTTGTGGGACATCTGGTACATTTAAATCAAAGATGAACAAACATACTATGCAGATGCACCGTTTTTATAACTGCTGCGCATTTTACCCTGTTTGTTGGTAGCCTTGACTGACTAATATGCATTTTTTCCTTTCCAACAGTTGTACTTGAAAGATCATTAAACTTGTAGTGGCAGAGTCATGGCCTAGTGATGTTTGTGGCGTAGTTAAATAGAGAATGTATTCGCGAACGGTTGTACTCAACGTATTTGGGGTTGTAATCTAATTTGCTTAACTAATTGCTACCCCTGATATAGTGCGATCGTGGAAAATGCGTTAATTGGCGTATTAACAGACAAAAATCTACCTTTAAGTCGTTATTGTTGCCCCTAAAAACTGTAATTTAATTTAAAAAACGATTAATACGCTATTCACAGGTTAAACTCAATTACAGAGACATACCCCTATTATTAACAATTATTACATTTCATTACAACGTAATTTGAAACAAGACAAAATCGTAAATATAAAATTGTTGTATCTGAATTGGAATATATGAATATATGTTTCTAATTCTGCTTGTATGGCGTAGGCGAATGTATGAATATATGAGGACCAAAATTGATTAACCCTTTATAGCATTCCGAGAGATGATATGTAAGTTACAGGAAAATAACACATTGATACATTTGCTGAACTAATATAAAATGAGATCTAACTAGAATATGCCCTATAAGAGCATTGCACTTTTAACTTTGTAATTGACGTACAAAAATTTAATTTTTTGGGGGTAATGAAATTATACTTTTCTTCAAGTCCTAAATAGAACAAAATGAATTGATTGAAGTGGTTCATTGTCATTTTTCAATATTCAATATACAATTTTAGGTCCTCTCAGTTCCTACGTCTAAATATACAGGGTGTAAACACAAATTTTACACACATGGAGCAAATATTTGAAGAGTAATTAATCGAAGTGCGAAAAACCATTGCAGAAACATTTTCTGCAAATATAGTTTTTTATACCTGCCTGACTATCACAGTGCTATCAAGAAACAATTTTAGAACTGCTGATTCCATCGATAGCTCTGTTGGCTCTGTTTACACATCATTCACCATTCATTCTTCTTACCATTAAAACTTGTGTTTCGATACGGAATATTTTTAATTTGAAAAAGGTATACAGTTGTCTGTCTAAATTTACATAAATATTTTTTAATTCTGTCTAGTTATAAAGAAAATCCATCAAAATTTCAAAAATCGAAACGGCTACCCGACGTCATGCTTTCATTTTCTGTCAAGGTGTTCTTGATGATGGCGGAAATAATAATAACAAACACGTTACTACGAATAAACGACTGAAATGACACTGTAACAACTTGACTTCCGTTTCATGATACTTCCTAGTCAATGAAGTACAACATTATTGGTACCGTATAAATGCTAACCAATCTTTGTTTATTTTTAGCTCATTCAGAACTACAGTAAAATTTGAAAATATTCTATTAATTAAATTGGAAATATACCAAAAGATTAATTTCGTTGTTGATTTTAAACGGTTTTTCAACACTTCTAGAACCTGTTTCGTAATAATATGAAAAAAATTATCATTTGGGTGGAAACACTTTTTTTCTGGTCTTTCAAAGAACATTTGCAAGATTAAGAAGTTTATAGATGATAGTGAGAGAATTGAGGCTAGACAAATGGTTAAAAGCTACACCAAAAAGTATTTTTGTGAAGACCTTGTAGGTAAAGAGAAATTGTTTGTAGTGGAATCTTTATGCGCATTGAAGATTTTAATGTATTGTCAAAAGTACAACACGGTTTTCGAAAATTAATTTCAAACTGCAGTCATGTCTCCTACAGAAAAATTATATGACAGATCAAAGATAGCAGCAGTAAATTAATGTAGGTATTTTGAAAAAACCAAACACAAAACCTGGGGTACCCCAAGGTTCCATACTTGGACCGTTACTCTTTTTAATTTATGGCAACGACCTGTCAACCCATTTTATAAAAAAATTATTAGGTATGTTTGCCGTATTTCTGTTGTAATAAAGACCAAGATGCGTTATCTCTTAAAAAAATTTTAATGAAATATGCTGAATACTGTGGAATTAGATTATTAAACATTAAACATTACAGAAACCGGAAACATTTTTTATAACATTTTCACTTAAGCGTTTAGTTTGTGGCAACAATAGTTTAATTAAAATATGGAATAAATCTATTAAACAAACAAATTGTACTAAATTCTTAGGAAATTCATTGTGCCTTGAATTGGCAAACATATATGTCGGCGCTGCTGGTGTTGGAAGGTTATTTTAGAAAATTTGTTTATAATATTGTGTTAATGTTATATCTATCACTTAGTGATCAATTTGCATTTAGCAGATTATGAGTTTAATGTTTTAGAATTTAGAATTATGGAAACACTTGTTTTGGTTGGGCAAAACGAGGTTAGCGAGATATTGACAGTAAGAGTCAGAGAGTGAACAGAGAGATTTGGATTAGAAAGCAAGAATAATCTTTTTTTATATCTCAGAACCCTGTTGTACGAGAATCAATAAATTTGGTACACAGGGGTTTTAAGACATGTGGAATCTGATGGTGCTATCCGCCTAAGACAATTTTTCGTGGCTCCTCTTGTCTTTGGAGCTAAAATAATTTGGTGGCATATTTAATTTCTTAAAAGTTATTAGTCCACTAGAAAGCCTCTTGATACTTTTTCATATAACGTAATGTTTTCGAGAAAAATGTCAAAATGTAATCGAATGCATATCGTGATTCGCTAATTTCCTTAAAAACATTGCGTTTTACGAAAAAAAATATCAAGAGACAAAAAAGTTTCTAAATTCATTGGCTTTCTAGCTAACTAATAATTTTTAAAAAATTCAAATTTGCGACCAAAATTTTTTGGTTCGTGGGCCCCGAAAATGTATCCAAAGGGGGTTCCCCGCCAAAAAGCGTAGTTCTGTCAGATTCCATATATCATAAAACCCCTGTGTACCAAATTTAGTGATTCTCATACAACAGGGTTCTGAGATTAATCTCAAAAAAGACAGGGGCAGATTTCAGGGGGCAGTAACTTCGAAAGAGGGAGCCACTTCAGTCAAAAAGAAAAAATACGGGTCCCCTAAATTTGTCTTGAGAATTTTGTTGCATTAATTTCGGGACACCCTTTATTAGGGATGGACAGACATAAGTCGTGTAGAAATACTTTTAAAAAAAATCTGTTTTACGAGGTTTTATCGGTTTGTAATATACACATTCTATTATACAGGTTGTCCCAAAAAAGAACCGAGTCCCTAACAACATTTCAGGATCCAGTCATATCTAAAAGTATTTCAGATAAAAGTTGTGTAAGATAAAGATATCAAGAAACAAATAAGCTGATCAGCGACTGATACAACGCCAAATTTTGTGACGGAATCTAGAATTGAAAAATTCGTAATGTCATTTAGTGCGATCGATAATCGAGAATATGAATGACACATAGGACGGCCCTGCAACAAGGGCGTAGTAGTAGCAGGTAGTAGCACTAGATGACGTCACAATACGATTTTGATCGCGTAACGAAATTAAAATTTTTAAGTTGCTTATTTCTTTTGTAATATGTATATTGCGTTTGTTTCAGATCAAGACGGCGCCGAACCGTGCGGCAACTCCGTCGCCGTCCACAACCTGATCCGGCTTGCCGCCTACCTTGACAGGCAGGACCTGCGGGACAAGGCCGGCAGGACTCTGACCGCCTTCTCCGACCGGCTCCGGTCCATTCCGGTAGCCCTGCCGGAGATGACGTCCGCCCTGATGTTCTACCATAACTCACCCACACAGGTAGGGCCATTCGTTCGGTCACGGATCACTGCCATCACAAGGTTAGAATCGAATCATTTCATTTATCATTCCTCATTTTTTGCCACCAATTCACTACCTGTCTATCGTAAGCAGAAATATTCCCTATAGTCTGTTTGGAAATGAAAGAGAGTAATAAAACCCCGAGATAAGAACCGGCCATGGGCGTGGTAATATTTCGTTTCAGGTAATTATCGGGTAACACTAATGCTAACAGGTAATGGGTATACATTAGTATATTTTACTGGATACATCATAGGGAAGGAGCCAGTGTATTGTGACAGATCAATCCAGTCTTAGAGCTGAATATACGAAGACGTGCTAGTGCAGTAGAGTAAAATTCGACTTGTGTTTAGTGACTACTGTGCCAGTGGATATAATATTGTTTGGGTAAAATGTCGAGCTTATCAGATTACGTACCTGCTAAACGCGTGAAAAGATGTGCGCTGTCTCAGAATGAGAAGATTATTATATTAAATGTATTTAATGCATTGAAACACCAAAATCCTACCAACAGTGTTGACGACATCGTGGAAAAGTGGGAACTCGATAATTTAATTGACGTTACTGTGGAACCTACCGTTATCAACCTAGGAGACGAAGATAATTCTTCTTCAGAGAATATTCAGAGGATGAATTTTAATATATCTACTTTTTTGTTTTCTTTATTGTACATTTATACAACACTACATTTACTCACCATAATTTGAATTTTCAAAATACATATATTTTTGTGTGGAATAAAAGTCTATTCATTAAATTTAAATAAATATTTTGATAATAATATTGAATAATTTTATTTGAGTTACTAAAAACCCTCTTAACCCGGTTATGATGCTTAAAGTAGCCTCATGTTTTGAAATGCTGTTTTTATATTGTTTACTTATAAGAAATGGACCGAGAAATTGAAACGGCATAGACAAAGACGGATTGTCGGGGATTAAATTTTAGCTACCTGCTACAATTTAGTACAACCCGGTCACACAAAGTTTTTTTAAAAGTACACCTCATCTATACCGATAAAACATAATATAAAAATATTGAATATAAGCACCAGTACTACATTTATTTACGATTTGCATACATAATAAGCTTTTACTACTCTCTTTCATTTCTAAACAGACTAGATAAAAACATTTAATCATTTTCAAAAAATTTACAATGTTTATTAAAATTTACCTCAACTTCTTAAAAAAATTGTTTGCGACTTTAGAGGGTATAAAAGCGGTATCCTATTTCAAAGCAGGCTACTGAAAAAAAAATAAAAATTGTTACAATTAACTTATGCATCACCATTTTTTTATAGAAACATTCTTAAGGACAACTCTGTGTACATAGTTTTTTTTTAATAGAGAATGCTCGGTTTTACACAAAAACCATTATTTGTCTTTCGTTCCAGGTCTTTATAGCGGGCCAGACCGAGGACAACCACACACAGGCCCTCCTAGACGTCGTCCGCTCGCGCTTCCTCCCCGGCCGCATCCTGGCCATCGCCGACGGTCCTGGCGGCCGCGCCGGCCTGCTGTACCGCCGCCACGAGACCCTGTCTCGCCTGCGGCCCATCCAGGGCAAGCCGGCGGCTTACGTGTGCAGGAACTTCGCCTGCTCGCTGCCGGTGACTGAGCCTGATGAGCTGGCCACGTCCCTGGATGATGGCAACGGCCAGAAGAGGGGCACCGAGTGAAAGCTTCGTCGGAGACGATGCTAGAGATAGGTGTATAGGTTTTACTCGCGCTTGAGTGCCTGTAGGTGTGGGGAAATTCGATCTTGTTGCTGAAATTACTGTCGCTAAGTTCAAAATCAAAGCGATTATATTAGTTTTATCTTCACTCGCGAAATTTTTCGTTAATTTTTACAAGTACTTCAATTTATTTTTTATCAAACTTTAGGAGAAGATAATCATAAAATAATGATAATTTCTTAACATATATTTTACTCGAAACAGGTTTTTTCTTTAGTACAATGCTCTATTGTTGAAATTTTCATGAATATTTTTAAGTATTTTCTAAACGATTTCAGCTTTTTAGTTTTATCTGTCGCAGAAAGTGCAGGGGGGTGTTATATTACACAGATTGAATATAAAAATTACGTAATGTAATAAAACTACCCGGTATGGCAGCTGTAAGAGTAAATTTTTATGCGTTTATCTTTCAATATGCCGATTACGTTGATAGGAATCCCAGTCCAACAAAATAGTTCACAAACACGATATTTTATTACTGTTTAATGTTTAATAAATTATTAATTACGCATGTTGTTAATGGGCGAGATGAAAGCAACGAGTCACGGGTTATGATGCAAATCATATGTACACATTGCGTCAAACTCTGTTACTATTAAATAATAGTGCGGCTGAGTTCCAATGTTTGTCTGACAATATAGGCCTTAAATCGAATGGAAAATTAATAAATGAAATATAAATAATGATTCGTTTGAAAAAATTAACCTAAAGAACACCTACAGTGAATAGGAAATTCTAGATTCTGGAGCGAAAGTGTATTTTTTGCAATTTTTCTTAAAATTATTTTAGTGCAATTTTCTATTGAAACGTCTTTATAAGATATTTTATTCGGAAATGGTCAAATTTTAGTGAAAATTAAATAGCGCTTTTTTATTGTAAAATGAGCAGATTCAAAGAAATAATTTAATTTTTTATCAAAAGTGTATCCATTTTGTTTTAATAATAGAATCATCTGTTACCTTCCCTTTTCTACTGCACTGATAAAACTGTAAAAAGCAAGTATTTTATTCCTTTAAACTTTCTTCTAAGCTCCTTGTTTCAAAAAAGGTTTTGGAATGTAGTACATACTCAAGTGTGTCTAAGAATGGAGTTGAAAAAATAATTTTTATTAAAAAAAATTGTACTCAGATGTACAAAAACGTGGGCCAACATATACAGGGTGTAAGAAATATAGTTCTCGATTTTATACTTATAATATTTATGTTCTCTTCATAACAAAATAAACATGAGATCAGTTGAGAAATACATAAATAACCGATCATTTTCGGCCATTTAATATATAGCCTGTATATATTAGATCCCCAGATTAGGTCCCCAGATCGTACAAAAAACATGAAGTTGATATTATGGAAAATGATTAAAACATAATTTGTAGCATATTTTCATTTCTTAATATCCAATTAATTCTATTAAGTTTGTTAAGAGCAAACATTTTTTTCTGTGTAGGTAATCTGCCTCGTATAAAACACCAAAAAAATTTATTGGGAAGTTATTCATGTAATATTTGAAGATAATCGACCTACATTAATATTTTTGATTTGACAAATCGTTGACTTATAACATTAACTACATTTTGTACAAAGTAAACCGATTATTTTTTCTGTATCTTGTACGAAAATAGCACTTTACCATATGGTGGGCCATTAGTGTGAGAAAGTAAAATAATTCCTTTGTCACTCATAATATAGAAAAAAAGTTTATATAAAAGTTATACAGAATTAAGAAACCTAAACTATAACATTAATTTTATAGATACAGGGTGATGAGTAAAAACTGGACACGCCAAATATTACATTTTTTAAATGGAACGCCCTGTATATTTTTAAACATATGGATTTCCGAGAAAATGTATATGGCAATATAAACAGTTTATCATTTTAGTACGGGGTTGCCAAGTTATGTAGAAAATTCTTCGAATTTTGAAAAAAAACATCACCTCGAAGAAGTTGTATTAATTTTCAGCTACTAACACTTGGGACATTTTTTATAATACGATCATTTTTAGAAAGTTTAAACTTGATTTTCTAAAATTTTTCAAATGGAACACCCAGTATTTTATTGTTCTATTTTATTCACATATCGGTCCACTTCAACCTTTATTAAGCATATTATATATCTAAAATTGTTATTTTTTAAGATATTGCAACATTTCTGAAAAAACTTAATTTTTATTACATATTTTATAGAATACCACAAAGAAATATTAACTAATAAAATTAACTCAAAATGGAATTATAAATTATGAACTGACAAGTTGACACAATGTGACAGTTTTTTCCAAAGCCATTTCGTGCGACCAAAAATAATAAAAAAAATAGGTTCTCCAGAAATGTATTATATCTTAAAAACTAACAACTTTATGTGTAGAACATACTTAATAAAAGTTGAAGTGGACTAATATATGAATAAAATAGAACAATAAAATACATTTGAAAAATTTTTGAAAATCAAGTTTGAACGTTCTTAAAATGATCGTATTATAAAAAATGGCGTATATAAAATATCAATATTAGTTAATATAGGAGTCTTTGCCTAACATTTGCCTATAACTCCGTTCAATATTTTTGCTCCAAGTGTTAGTAGTTGAAAGTTAATACAACTTCTTCGAAGTCATATCATATCGAAGAATTTTGTACATAACTTGGCAACCTCGCACAAAAATGTTAAACTATTTATATTGCCATATATAGAATTTTCTCAGAAATCCATATGTTCAAAAATATACAGGGTGTTAATTTAATATTTGGCGTGTCCCGTTTTTACTCATCGCCCCGTGTGTTTCAAATTAATTTTTCCTCTAGGTTTTTTGATTCTGTACAACTTTTATATAAACTTTTTTCTGTATTATGAATAAGAAGGGAGTTATTTTACATTCTCACACTAATGGCCCACCCTACATATTTTTTTTGTTGTAACAAAATCTTATTCTCTCAGAAATAAAAATTTATTATAGATGATTTGTTAAAAATAAAATCAACTACTGCATTTGTATCCTTTCTTTGTAGAGAAAGCCGTAAATTTGTAGGGCCACTTAAAATTACATTTTTGTACACAAGCCGTATTTTTTTAATAAGAATGACTTTTTTCATAAAATGAAAAATTAAAAAGCTTTCCTTCCCTGTTTTAACTCAATAGGTACTTGGCAGGACTATAGCAATCATTATTTTTTGATAATCCTAAAGCTTGGTGAAAAAAAAATAAAATCACCTCTATACTAATATTAAATATTAAAAATATCAGAAAATATTGCATTAAACTTTCATGTTTTGATAAATCCGGGTACTTTTATTTTATTTATTTACTTTTAATGCAAATGTGTGTAGTGTTTAAAAAATCAAGGAATTGTGTTTATCTTCTACCAGTCACAGTTTTTGATGATCAATTTTCTTTTATCTTTAAATAATCTTATTCTATCTTATCTGTATAATTGTTCATTGTTTTCAGTGACAGCAAAAGCTCAGTTCTCTCATTCTACCGATACTCAACAGTCCTTTTTTTATATTTGTGCTTTATAAGCATGTTTAGATTAGTCAAAAAATTATCCAGTGGGTTCTATCGACTGTTTTTATGTCCTTCTGATGGTGAAATTAATTTAAGGCAAGGGATTTCATATAAAATTGTATCCACTCCAGTTTTTATCGAATATGTACAAGTAAAATATATTTTAACATTATTTTTTTTTTAATTAAAATGTCATAATTGGATTGGTTACGATCTTATACGGAACACCCTGTATATACACGTATCAGTAATGTATGAACAAGTTTTGCAAGATTTAGACTGAGAAATTGTGTTTGATTACGTGGCGTTTGTGTTTGAATATTTTTTTGTGGAACGCGATAAACTTATATAAGCAGTACTTTACCTTCACCTATCCCTTTGCTTAAAATCGCTTCTGGTACACCGCCCTTTGTACGAAACGTCGGGAATCGGCTTAGCTCGATTCCCGATGTAAAAAAATCGACGGCGATATAGTCCAGCGATTGTGAGAGCGTCGAAAAAAAAATTTACGTCACCGGTGCGGTTAATAAATTAATACCAGATTAATGGCCCAGAATCTCCATTAATTACTGCAGTGACAAGCAAATTAAACCAATTAAAGGCCCGTACAACGCGCGTAACTAAATGAAGTTTAGCCGGTCATTAATCATAAAGCGAATCCGTGTATTTCGCACACACAGACAAAGGTATACGTAACGTGGAATAAATATGTACGGATAAAAGTGCAATTTTTAAATGGTAAACTCCAAAACAGTGTCGGTTTGCTCTATAATTTTTTTCAGAAAATGCACTGTTTGCGAGATTCGTGGACAAGTTAGTAAAAAAATTGTAACTTTCTGTTATATCTCGAAAAAAAAATGCGCTAATTTTAAATCACACAAAATCAAATGTCAACATGAAAAATCAGTGACGTGCATCCGATAGTTTCAAATACCCCTTCAAAAAATTGTACCTGACTTCTCTATGGTGTGCTGTAAATTTCTATAAAAATTACACTTGCAACTTTTTCATGAAACCATACATTTTAAAATCTTAATCTGCCTTGCTCGAAATATTGAAAATATTTTGCTCTGAAAAAAATCATATTTTGCACTAATGGAATCTTTGACATTTGATGTAGGATTTCCTTAAGAAATTACCAAACAGGTATAATACGTAATTGATATTAAGCCATTCCTTGACTTGCCTTCTGAAATAGGGTGGAGCTCCTTCAAGTTAGCTACAGTTCTTCCAACCCCTCCTTAATCGTCCAATCTAGCAATATTTCTTGTCTGATATAGATCTAAAATATCAGCAAAATCATTTAGAAGTTTATAATTTTTTTTTTGAGAGAAGAAATGGGGTTCACACACAACATTTACCCATAATACCTAACTACATATTTAGACCAAATTAACGTTGAAATGACACTGTATTTGAATTTCCTTAAGCCCATATGGATAAATTGTGAAAAGTGGCAATTCGCGATAGCTTCAATTTTTCCTCGTTAGTCCAGAGAAATTTCTACAACAAATCTAGATCTATATCGGTGGTGTCGAAAACCCACATAGAAATCGACTTTTTTCGGTGGATTAAATTTTGAATTAATTATTTATGAAAAACTTTTCGGAAATGCCGTTTTAACGTCCTATAAATTTTGCATGCTTACTTGCAATAGCAGTGATGCTCTTCAGGAACTTAGCTGACTTGTATCTGCTTTGCTTAATTCTAAAATTCTGTTACTAGGGGGATTATAGCTACCGTCATTCTAGTCTAGAAAACCCGTGTTTTAGAAATTATAGACAAAGATCATGATAATCTTAAAATTTACGATATATTTTTGTGAAAAATTTTGAAGAATTTTAAAATTTTAAAACTACGTCGCCAGTTTCTCAAATTGGTTTGTAATTTTATAAAACAGAGGTTCTTAGTTGTATACGTAATATAATATTGTAAAACAATTAGTATATTAATATCCGGATATATAACAGAAAGTAACTTTTTTTTTAATTAAAATGAACATGTTATATCTCGAAAATGGTGCATGTTTCGAAAACTGCTCAGCCGACATAGATTTCTTTGAATTTCTATCGACCCCTAAAGTTTGATCATTTAAAATTGAAACACCCTGTAATAATACAAGGAGAAATAAGACGTTGCTTCTCATTTTCTTTAAATTCGAACATCTTGTCCATATACATATATTTGCTTGTCGTTAAAAAATAATACAGAACTGTTTATTATTTTCCGTGCTTTGAAGAATTTTAAGCTTAAATGTAAATTTCCGACTGCCCACTCAACCACCCCTCGCCCTGAAAGCCACAGCGCGGATTTTCCGATTTGGCGCAAAAAAAATTGACCGCGTTCGGACCCGCGTTAAATTTATGGAACCGTGAGCACATCTTTCTCCTGGTAATTATTCAATTTCGCTCTCCCGCCCTTCTCCGCCTCCGGATAATGTTCGGATATTAGGCGGGCTGTTGTTGAAATATGCTAGGAGCGGTTGGAATATGTTGCAATGCGTCTTTATGCTCCTTTTCCTTTGTCACGCACATGCCCCAAAAACCCAAAAAATTAACTGTAACGCGGTTTTGAAACGATGAAATATTTGCCTCTGGCGTCGATATCAGCTCTTAAACTCGTGTTGTAGATATGTAATGGACCTATTGCAACGATGGAGAAATCTGCTCAGCATTCATGTAACTAATAAATATTACAATAATTGAAAGGTTCATTTCCTGGGCATTTAAAATTCAGCTTGTTTCCATCTGTTTTAAGCAATTTTGTACCCTTTGCCTCAACCCGCATTATAATTTCAACCCTTGAAAGATTCTGTTAAATTATTTGATCTGCATTTGTTTAGAAGTGGGTGTACTCCTACAAAGGATAACCGCTCGAATTCTGTATGAAAATGATTATCTAAATCATAAAGGTTTAGTCTGTGGTCTTTTATTCAAGTTTCATCAGAAGAGTTTCCCAGAATGTCTTGGTTTTCTGTTATTCTGTTTTTGCATTATGTCATACTTTCTTTTGATATACCTGCTTTGTATTCAGTCTTTATTAAAGCTTGTACTTTGTTCATTATAATGTTTCCTCCAATTTCTTGAGATATATTATTTTGCATTCTGTTCAGATTATTTTCTAAAGGTTTCCGTTTTTTGATGTTCTGTTCTTCCTTCAGCAGGCGTCTTGTTCCCCAAATGTAAAAGAACTGTATCAAA